TCTTAACTTCCTTTTGCATTTCGCCTGCCGCTAGACAAACACCGTTCTCACAGCTGTTCTCTCATGTGAAGTTTTGTGTTTCCATTCTTACCAGCAGCAACTTGAGTGAATATTTGGGTATCACATCCTGTTTTGCGTTCCTTTACAAATGCACCGACCATATAATTGCTCTGTCAGCTGCCTCCCCTGACAGCCTTTATAAATGAAGTCTAATATGTTAATCTCCAACCTTTCCCCAAAGGTCTTTGCTCCCTTCCCTTTCATGTTTTGGAAGCCCGTCTAATTTGTCAACAACGTCTATAAAGCTGACCTAATGTGGAGGGAACATGGTGTACTTCCCAAAAGAGAAATGCAGAGTGCGAGGTATCCAGGAGCTTGGGGCAGGGCAGAGCATCGTGGTGTACTGTTCCTCATAGGCCTCAGTTGCATCAATCCCAAACAGATCACGCAGAGACTCCTGGACACGTAGCCATTTCCTAAAACCGAGAGCTGTTGCACTTGTCTGTTGCTATGGCTTTTGGGAAGCATAAATGCAGTTAATGAAAACTAGCCACCCTGCCCACTTTATTCCACGTGGGGTGTGTGTGCAGGCAACAACTGAGGGCCTAAGTAGTCCTACCAAGAGTAGAGCCTAGAAAACGAATGGGACTTCTTAATCACAAGCAACGTAAACCACATTGATTTTAAAGAAGCGGTCGAAAGGGGGACCAGTGTTGGATAGAACTGTGAGGTTTCACAGTGGATTACATTTTGTGAGTCATAATCTGAGGATATAATGAGTCATTCAGACAATATCGCTAAGACAAATGTCCTGCATCTCCACTCTCGAAAGAGCAGATATTGGCTCCGCAGATATGTTTCAGCGTCCATTGAAGCTGGCAACTAACAATCAGTGCTGGAAATGTGATGTAATTACCTTGCTGGCAGGAATTTTGTTCTATTTGGGGGCAATCTATACAGAATTTATATGAACAGCATGAAGGAAATTGTGTATGTGGGCTATGTGACAGAGGGAAATGATTTGATACTCGTAGTCACCTCATCAGATAATTTCCCTCTCTTGCTGCGCTTTCATCCAGTATTCATAGTTGATTATTCCTCTCCCTACAAACTAAATAATTTACTTGTCTGGCTGTGGGGGTGTTTTTCTAAGTAGGCATGACAGAACAGCATTGAAATAGATTGTAGAATAATGTGTGTAGGAACACATAGATTAGGCTGCCTGACTGCTGAAACCCTGTGTAACCTGAGAGTTGGGAACCGGTTGTCCTCCAAACGTTGAATTAGAATTCTCATCCAGCATGGCTTGGTCATAAACGATTTATCGGAGTGGTAGTCCAAGTCCATCCAGAGGTAGGTTTGCTGGGTGTCAAGACAGCAGGTGGCCCCTCAAGGAAGCCTTGCATCTTGACATGGGGAGCCAAAGCTGAGAATGGGCAGTGCTGGAGCCAGAGGGGGTGGGGGGAATTGTGTATGAGTCTTCTTGTACAAACCAAGACAACACTAGTGTAAGGCCTGGAAGGTAATTTCCTGTGGGCTGGTTATTTGCTTTCCACAAGCCCCAGAAACATTGAAGAACCCAGAAAAACTCACCACATATGTGCTACAGGTAAGGCAGTCTATATCATGCATGAGATGTGAGGTCTACTGGGAGTAGTGGAAAACATTGCAGCTGCTGGGTGCATCTTGGTGCCTGGGCAGCTACTAAAACAGAGACGTTTTCCCCTGTCCTCCCAAACTCTAAGTTGCCATCTTACCTGGTTAGCTGCTTTTGCCCAGATGCTGAGTCCTATTTCCCCAGTTTCCATTCATACTCATTTCTATAATTAGCAATTCTGGAGCCTTCTGAACCCTTGCCTCCTCCCAGGACATCACAAGAACCCACTGTCTGCTGTCCGGTTTGGTCTTTAATTGCTCAGGGAACGGGATCCTGCTGACCTGGCTCTGTGTGTATCCCCATCTCTGACATAACTCCAAGGGTGATGATCCTTGTGTCTTTGGTACTCATCTGAGCCAGTGGGATGATATCATCTTGCTGACATTACCGTGTCTATAAAAGGCGTCGATCCACCGTGGATGTAAAGGAGATACAGGGGTGCCTTTGTATATTGCTCTTCTTTCTGAGGTCTGTGTGGTATAAGGCACGTTATGTTGACAATCCTGAAAACGGATGTGTTACATATTCTCAAGTATGAAGCTTGGAAGTGCATTCTGTATTGTTTACCTCTATTTAAAAGCAAATAAAGTGTGCATTTGTATGCCTGCCACACACCCACTTTTAACTTGCCTCCACTCTTTTGCATACCAGTAGTAAGTGGCAGTTTGTTTGCTATCTTGAAATCAAATATTAAATCTGTATGTGCATGAAATGTCTGTTCTTCCTGTTTGTATGTCTTTTTTCGCTATTGAACGACAACTAGGTGCAATCAAGCCAAAGCTAAGCACTTTTTGAAGTCTTAATTTTTTCAAAGAGGAGCGTTGCCACCCAAACTTTGCCAGGTTTTCTCATCAATGGGCTGCACTGCTTTGTGCAGTTGAGCTGAGTAGAGCTTACTTTGGAGTAATACAGGATTCTGCTGTAAATATCACTAGCCAAAATCTTGTTGCTTAGCAGAATAAATCGCACTATGGAGGTACATTGGATCAATGGGAATTTGGTGACTCAGCTCTTCTGTAAGTTCTGTTGATTCGAATGGGCCTACTCTAACTGTGACTCAGAATGCTAAAGTAAGGCACATCTATTTGAATCAATGGAACTTATGGAGCAGATATTTCACCAAATCCTCATTGATCCAATGGCCCTACCATAGTGCAATTTATTCCACTAAGCAGCAGGATTTTGGCCATGGTTTTTATCTAGACTGAATGACAGTTAAGAATTGGTGTATTTAAGAGCTGCACCAAAACAGGATATTTTAGCCTCATGTTTTTGTAGAATAAAAACAAACAGACAGACAGACAGACAAACAAACAAACAAACAAAAACTCTAGACCTGAAAGGTAGGCAGTTTATAACATCATCACCTGATAAACTGCATTGGCTGTGTAAATTTTTTTTGCTTAATATGAACAAAGAAGGGAAAAAATATCCCAATAAACTACTGCATTTTGCTGGTGGATGATGATGATGGTGATTTTGCGTACCCAATAGAATGTATTGGGAATGGTATATTTTTCATGCCATTTTCCAGCAGACCATGATGCCAAGAAGCAGAAGCAATGTACTCTGGTTGTCAGTAGGTTGGTCCTCTCTCTCTCTCTTTCTCTCTCTCTCTCTGTGTGTCTGTGTCTCTGTGTGTGTGTGCGTGCACACGCGCATGTGAAACCCTGATGGACGAGGATCAACACTCAACCTCACTGGTTCCATCTGTTTTGATGTCAACTGGATCGATTATGCACAGCATAGCTAACTCTCCCTGGATCATGCCTTTTTTTCACTATCTCGTGCTTGGGGTGCTTCTTTTTGCCACACCTTTTGCAGGAAATGGTCTTGGCACAGGTTTATGAAACAGGCAAGAAGCACTTTGTGGCTTCAAGAAGGTTTAGCTATATCTACGACCTATCAATTGACAGCGGATTGCTGGAGCTGGCCTGAGCGTCTTCTTCCCCTGTTAACAAGCTTTTTTTAACTTAGTTGGTATGGCTTAACATATGGCAACAATGTTTTTTTATAATCCAGGCAGCCCTTAAAGAGGCTTCAGGGAGAATCAATTTACAGCTCAGGACACCAGGGAAGATCTCATGTTGGTACTAAGAAGATTTTAAAGCCTAATGACCCTTCATTGATCTTTTTAAGCGTTACTGTTGCCCTGAAAGGTAGGCAGTTTATAACATCATCACCTGATAAACTGCATACTTTGTCTCCAGTTTTAAGCCATTGGCTGTGTAAATTCTTTTTGCTTAATATAAACAAAGAAGGGAAAAATATCCCAATAAATTACTGCATTTTGCTGGTGGATGATGATGATGGTGATTTTGCCTATCTAATAGACTGTATGGGGAATGGCATATTTTTCTTGCCATTTTCCAGCAGACCATGATGCCAAGAAGCAGAAGCAATGTACTCTGGTTGTCAGTAGGTTGGTCCTCTCTCTCTCTCTTTCTCTCTCTCTCTCTGTGTGTCTGTGTCTCTGTGTGTGTGTGCGTGCACACGCGCATGTGAAACCCTGATGGACGAGGATCAACACTCAACCTCACTGGTTCCATCTGTTTTGATGTCAACTGGATCGATTATGCACAGCATAGCTAACTCTCCCTGGATCATGCCTTTTTTTCACTATCTCGTGCTTGGGGTGCTTCTTTTTGCCACACCTTTTGCAGGAAATGGTCTTGGCACAGGTTTATGAAACAGGCAAGAAGCACTTTGTGGCTTCAAGAAGGTTTAGCTATATCTACAACCTATCAATTGACAGCGGATTGCTGGAGCTGGCCTGAGCGTCTTCTTCCCCTGTTAACAAGCTTTTTTTAACTTAGTTGGTATGGCTTAACATATGGCAACAATGTTTTTTTATAATCCAGGCAGCCCTTAAAGAGGCTTCAGGGAGAATCAATTTACAGCTCAGGACACCAGGGAAGATCTCATGTTGGTACTAAGAAGATTTTAAAGCCTAATGACCCTTCATTGATCTTTTTAAGCGTTACTGTTGCAAATCCACCTACTGCACAAGATAGAGTGTGCAGGTTTTGTGTTTCTTGATTTTTTAAAAAGGGCAACATTTCCTTTTTGCTCTTCTTGATGACATTTAAAAAAAAAATAAGAATATATTGCAAAATGTTTCATATAAGCTGGTGATCAATGTTCTTGTAAGCGACCTGTCCCCACCATAACAAATGAGTTCCGGAATGGGGGAACCCGGGAATGTTCATTTACTTAAATGGTCCTTTGGTGCTTATTAGACACATCTCTGGTTTGCGAGAGCAACTCAATTGATTCTATATATAGCGTCATAGCTGCCCATAAATGGGAGGGACGAGATAGCAGCCTTCCTTGAGAGTTGGGCATTATTTTTGTTTTCCTCAGCCCAGAGCTTGGGTAAGGCTCTTATTGCTCTCTGCTTTGCCAGTCTGACATCTCATTAGGTAAGTAGGGGTCCATTCTTTTATTGAGGGGAAAAAACCCCTGTGCATTATTCATATTAGACAAGGTTTGTTTGTTTGTTTGTTTTGACTCTTTGAAACATTTCTCTCCCATTTACAGTTAATGACCCTTGTATGTTCAGAAGGGGTCATGAGGGTAGAATAACTAAATAACTAAATTGCTATTTTAACCATTATTTTCATTTTTATCCATTAATTCACTGCCCTACGCACAGGCTGCTTAAAGCCACCGAATCCCAGGACCCATCTTTGCTACATTAAGGTTAACCAGAGTGGGCTAGTTACATGTGCAACAGAGAGAAGAATACTGAATTCTAGACATATTTCCAGTCAAGGATAGAAAGGCATTAAAATGCATGAATATTTGCCATCAATTCCTTCGTTCAGTGGGGTCAACTTAGTGTAGGTTATTTCAGTAAAAGTTGTAACTTGTTTTTTCCTTAAGAATTATTTTGAAACAATGAGCAAAAAGATGATTTTTAAAAACCTACTTGATTTTTAAAAATCTACTTATTTGAAGTTCACCAAGAATGAAGACAAATTTCTGACTCTTGATATTGCCTAGTGTTTACTCCTTGATCTCTTTCTCCAGATTTGCTGTGTTCCTGATGGGAAAGGGACAGAGAGAGTTAAGAAAGTCTTTTCCCCCCTTATCAAATGGTTCTTACTTGGAAGGATTCAGATAAACAAGGGAAGATGTGTGGGCCAAAGAAGATGCCCTTTTTGGGGATAACAAAATGAGGAGTAGTGGGAATTAACTCATTTTTATTGTCAGAGGGGGAAAAAAATTGGAAGTGACAGGAAGCTCCCATTCAAATGCATAAATACAGTAGAAATAAATGGTGATACGTAATTTCAGCAAAAGCTTAAATGGAATCCTGGTAAAATGGAGACTCTGTGGTAGGCGATTCCCATGTCTGAGGTGGTGGTGGTTTGGACAGCTTCTTTTGCATGGAGTAGCACTTCCCCAGAGAGCAGAAACTAAGCCCTGAGGCTCAGATAGTCACGGTAGTGTGGAATGGCCCTGGCTTCACTATGGCTTGTTTAGTAACGGAAGCTCTTCCTGGACCAGGATAAATTAATGACAGTAGTCCATGCCTTGGCACACTTCCTCTATGGATAACTACAATGCTTTCTGCACGAGGCTTTCCTTGAAGACCTCCAGAGCTGCAGCTGATGTAGTTTGCTATGTTAGCTGTGGCACTGAGAGGTGAACATATTACACTGTGTCCC